ATTGCCGGATAACACCAATATTGGGCAAATTGTCGAATACGGTAATTTGGCAAATGATTGGCTAACGTGCCGCAAAGTAGCACGTGCCCATTTGCCAAATTACTATTATTCGACAATTTTTGCCCAATATTGTATACTTATGCTGTGTGATGTGTGTTTGGTGAAGTGATCGTCGATTAAATGATATGTATCCAATATTTTAGGCCACTTGTATAATAATGATGTCAGAAAATATTTTTGTCATTAGAAAATAATTTCGGCAGCCGAAATTATTTACAGTTTAGGCTGCCTAAAATATTTTGGCAAGCCAAAAAGCAATTTAGCACCCATGTATAACTAAAGCTATGTTTTTGGTGCAATTTTTTCATAGAAAAATAATTTTTTTGATACATTTGCATATAAATCTTATAAAAATTATATCAAAATAGCAATTTAGAAAACTTTTGTTTATCTGCACGTGTGTATAATGGATACGTATAATTTTATTGACAATCGCTTCGCCGAACACCCCATCACACAGGGCGATGATTAATATTTAACGATTATTTGATGATGAATAATTATTGTTCAATATCACTCCAGCGAAGTGATCGTCAATAAAATGATATGTATCCTATATTTTAGACACAAATGTATAATAATAACATCAGAAAATATTTTCGGTATTAGAAAATATTTTTGGCAGCTGAAATTATTTTAGGCAGCTGAAAATATTTTAGGCAGCCAAAAATATTTTAGGCAGCCGAAAATATTTTAGGTAGCTGAAAATATTTTAGGCAACCAAAATTATTTTAGGCAGCCGAAATTATTTATGGTTTAGGCTGCCTAAAATATTTTCAGCAATTTTTATTTACAGCAAGCCAAAAATAATTTAGGCACCCATGTATACCTTAAATACTTCTCAAGCTAATAGCACACTCAATAATGAATGTGTTAATAAGAATCAGATAAGAAAGTTTCCTGTAATAAAATTAATCTGAAAATCTAATTTATCGTAGACAAATCATAAACTTTAGCAAGTTGAAAATAACAAAGAAACAGACTCCAGAAACTTTAAACAAACAACCCACAACAGTGATAATAATCATATAAGAAATCATCCTAGCAGATTAATAAATCTCAAAAAAAAAAAAAAAAATTATTGATATATATTATTGTAAATAGGAAGACAACTGTGATGTAAGTGATAACGATTCACCAGGATGGACAGAATGTGAAGATTGTTATGGAAATAAAAAAGAATTTTGTAAATTCTGCGGCTGTTCTCTATGCAATTGGAAAAGAGACAGAGGTCACATCCTCTTGTGTAATGGTTCTTGTGGCAAAAGTTTTTATACCAGATGTCTAAAACCTCCACTCATAAGAATACCAGCTGGAAATTGGTACTGTAAAGAATGTGAAAGTTTGAATTCAAAGAGATCAAAATGTAAAATACGACTTGAATATTTAAATTCAGATGAAATTGATAATCAAAATACAAAAAAAAACAAACAATTGAAATCAAAAAGTGACAACAAATATAAAGCACGAAAGAATGCTTTGGATTATGATGATGCATACAAATCGTAGTAAAAAGCATGAAACTTTTTTGGGTATTATCGTTATATCAAGTTTTGCTAATTTATATTTATTATCATAAATAATTTTATTTATAAGAAAATTATCAATATATAGAAAAATTAACTCTGCATACTAATGACTCAAAAGTTGAAAGCAATAATTTTCTAATAGTTGTAGAAAATGTACAAACCAATCAAATTGATTTTTCAAGAGTTATAATATCTCCTATAAGAAATTATCAATTGTAGCTCTTAAATTTTAATCAACTATCAAAACTGTACATTTTTATTGAAAAAATTTTTTATTTACAAATCAAAAGCATAAAATTCCGAACTATAAAGGAGAACAAACAGATGGTAAACAAACCGATGATAAACAAACCGATGAAAGTGAACAAGGAGAACAAAAGAAACAAAATGATGAAGGAGAACAAAATAATGAAAGAGAAGGAAATAATGAAGGAAAACAACGGTTGGGTTCTAGGTTTCAGGTAAATTTCTGCAAATATTAAAATTAATACGTATATATTATTGGTAATTATAATGTCTCTAAGCTATTTCATATTGACTAGGAGATTCCCAAATTTTCTTCTGACTTGACAGATAATATTTATGGCATATATAGATAAACAATTATCTTCATATTATTCTTATTTTTTAAAAGGTTCTATTGAAACCAATTCTCTTAGCACAATTGAAAATCCTATAAATATTAATTCACAAAGATCAAGTAAAGTGGAATTAATGACACGGTTAACAGAAAATTTCGAAGAATGTAATGATAAGAATTACAATAAGGAAAATGATAAAAATATTATTAGGAAAAAAATTACTAGGAAAAAAGGATCATTTTTTATTTGATTTTATTTTTTTAAACAAATATTTTAATTTTATTTATTTACATTAAATATCTTAGCATTAGAGAATGATTGGCAAATTATCTCCCAAGCTTTGCATAATCCTTCAACTGAAAATTGTTCTATTCTAGTTAATGTACAGAATAATGGCATAAACTTTAACTTGATGTATGATTATATTGCAATGAAATTTGATCAGAAATTATTTGAATTGAGAGATTCAGATGATATAAAAATAATTAAACGCGAATTTAGCAGTTGGATTAGGAGAAATTCTGTTATGGATTTTTTGGATACAGAATTAAATATTTATAAGCTTCGTCATTTTTTACAACTATACAATGGATATGCCGCACTTTTTGAATTTGTTCGTAAAAATACACCAGATGAATTCGAAAGTCTTAGTCTTGATCAAAAAATAGAACAAGGAATTCCCCTCAGTGAAAACAAAAGTTCTTACAATAAATGAAGATGGGTGAGGGGGCAAATAAAAAAAAATATAGGATTAGAAACTACCAAAGCAGAATCTCGAATTTGGACAGCATTATGTCGCATCAAATTCATTTTAGAAAATGGAATAAAATCAATTCGAGAACTTGCTCAAGCAGATGCTATATGTAGATTCATTGAAAATATTTTCAAAGAGAATTTTTCCTCATTTCTATATGATATTTCTGAAGGAAAATTTAAAGAATTTTCTGTTTCTGAAGAATTCGATAAAATCAGTTCAATTGACTACAAATTTTTTAAAGTACATAATTTTTCATCTTTCTTAATACGTTATATACTTTGGATTATTAATGTTAAACCATTTTTATCTTAATTTCTATTATTCAGTAATTGTGATATGAATTAAGATTTTGAAGACCTTTGTTATATCAGTTAGTCACATTAGCAGATACAAATAAAATTTTTTTTGATCTACTTTACTTAAAAAAATAAATACTACTTGAGCTTAGAGAGTAATCAAATATATAAATATTTATTATTTTTTAATGAAAAAAAAAATGCAGATCAATAATTTTGTTAATTATTGAATTAAATATTGATTAATTGGTCTCAAAGAAATTTTATGCAAAATTTCAATTTAAGTTTTAAAGAAAATCCCAATTATAAACATTCTGTAACTGTAAATATCAGGAAAATTTTTAGCTTATAGGCTATAAAAATGAAATAGAATTATACATACATATACATAGATAGTCCTGGGCTGATAAAAAGAGGTCAGATGCTTAAAAGCTAGTGTTTAGAGTTAGGGCGTTATTTTTAGATCCTAACAATTTGTCAACTTTTATCTCAGTAACTACAAAAATTATTTAATTCTATAGATTTATAGTAATATAATTATTATAAATATACTAATTGAGAATTATTTAGTATATTTAATCAAAAGTAAATCACTAACGAAACCAGTTTGGATTTTGAAAACTGCATACGCGTAAGAAGCAACTAGACATTTTGTTCAAATAAGTATTATTTGAAAATATATTACTAATACAAATTACATTAACGCGTGTAAACAATTTTCTTCATATCATGCTTATTAATGTATTGTAAGTATTATTGAATTCAAATTCAAATGTCTATTAAGCTGGGATTTAATTAATTAATGTCTTAATTCTTTGGCATTCCAAAATCTATGTCTGTAATCTTTGAATTTCTGAACTTAGATCGATTATCTGGGTTAGGACTCTGCAATTACCAGCATATGCCCTATTAAAAACATAGTGCCAGGTGCAGGTATAGTTACTATGTTTTAATAGTGTGTGTGCAGGCATTTGCAGAGCCTTAACCTGGATATTAAAAGTATTTAAAGCTTTGTAATTTAATGAATAATATAAATCGAATTTTCGTTAACATATAGGTACAGATATTATAACCACTATATTAAAACCGAATTATAGCTGGTTGTATTACAGTAAAACCGATTTATATCAATATCCGAATATATTAAAACCATTTTATAACCGGTGTTAGATTTCGACTATATATAAAAACCAGTTTTAAAATATACAATGGTTCCAAACACTAACCCACATTTTAAAATATTTTGAGTATTTTTTAATGTTTTTTTGACCCTTCAAGTATTGCGATAATTCTTGTTTTTCTCCAAAATTAATAATACTTAAATATGCAAAATGTTCATAAACTTCATTCCTTACAAAATCAAGAATTTCATTTTCCTTTAAGCCAAGAATATATTTGAAAGGAATTTCATCTTTAATTAATTTTGTGATTATTCTATCTAAATTAATTTATGGACAAATACTGCTGTATCATTAATATAATCGAGTTTTTTCTTTTCATAAAAAGTTTTTTTCGTATCTGCTATTTCTTCTAAATTTTCTTTAGTGATATTATCTTCACTCCATATGATGAGATAACAGTTATAATATTATTCAGAAGAGACTTCAAAAGAAACTTTAAGAATAGGAAATAAATATTTTTTTTGATAATTTTTCATCACAAAATTATTATTTTTTAGTAATTCAGTTAATTTACTTTCAAAATTGCTCATTTTTTTTCTAAAAAAAATATGATACAAAAAAGTGGTTAAGATATTTGGTTTTTAAAAAATAATTAAAGCCAACGTTTATTTTACTAAGACAAAGCAAAAAAAAAATATTTGCTTCGCAAAATTCTGGATATTCCACATTCTAGCAAGAAATTTTGAGATAAATAGTTCAATTTTTATTAATTCTAATATTGTGTAAATTAACTGCTGAATTGATATAATGGTTTTACGATTCTACATTCTAATTTACAGCATTACTATCGATATATGTACTTTATTGGGGTGTGCGATATTAAATATATAAGTTATAATCGACTAATATGATCAGATTTTTTCACGGTTGTTTAACAACCTATTTTTTATTAAAAATTTTGTCGCTATATTTATATGAGTGTTGCAAAATAAAACTGGACTTTATGTTCAAATAAAATAAAATTTATATTGAAATCAGTTAAATCAGTTTTAATGGCGGCACATATATATATATATACAAATAATTTATTAAAACTTGGAATTGCTAAGGCTCTAGAAAGACCTAATCGTTTATAAAAAAATTAGCATATTTTTATTATAGACAATATATCAAATACTAATATAAAAAGAAAATTTTTGTTTAATTTAAATTTTTAAAAATTGCAATAGAACAAAAAAATATTTATAATAGAAATTTTTTTAAAGGGTTTTTTGCACGATTGGCTATTTTAAAACCTCAAAAACTTTTCATAGCATAAAACTATAACTTATTTTCTATAAGTTTAGGAAAAATTATATCCTTATCTTTAAAAATGAAAGAGAAGTAGCGATTTAAAAAAAATGTATTTTATTATATAAATTTCAGAAAAATTATAGGTTATAAAAAAAAAATCTATATTGGTCAGGTGTAATGTCAGAAAATTTTTAGGATAATGATTTAATTAAGAGATCTGCGAGTTGCAGCACATATAAAATTATATGTTTTGTAAAAAATGACAGTTTTCGCTTATAAGCTAACACTTGTATCTTACAATATAGCTGATATTCTTCATTATAACAAAACCTTTTTTTGTTTCATATTTTTAAACTATCTATATTTTTTTCCTCTTATGACAAAAACCTTTGAAGTATCTTGTTTTGAAATTAGTGTTTTGAGACTATCGATGAAATCAAACTCGAAATTTGATTGGCTGATGTGACTGATTTACAAATGGGCAAAGCAGATTAACGCTTTAAAAAAAATTAATATCTTAATTTCAAAGCTCATATCATGATGAATTTCGAAGCTATCTTAATAATTTAATAGTTAAAAAAAAAGCTTAAGATCTAGGCTTTTTTTTACTATTAAATGATTAAGATAGCTTTGAAATTTGCCGAGATATGAGCTTTGAAAGTTAAGGTATTAATTTTTTTTTTAAAAATGTTGTTATGGAGGGAGTTACTGCGACTCGGTCGCTCCACTATCCAAAAACTCGCATAACCGACGATAAGTAACTTTACGAAAGAGGCATGTTAGATTTGGCTGGTGGGTAATTAAGGCTTCGGTTACTTGGGTCAACGAAGACAGGTCGGTTAAGTCACGTGATCAAGAAATCGAATGAACAACGATGTTATAATGGTTATATAGGGTTTCTAAAGGTATAGGGTTAGAGTATTATTATGGGCGATTTTATAGAATTGAGACTTATTATTTAATAAAGCAAAGAGAGCATCATGCTCTCAAGAGCTATTTTGGCCTTTATTTATAATATGAAATTCTGTCGCTTACAAATGCGACTTTACAATTAATATTTAATAAACTACTTAAAACTAATTACATTGATTTCTTTAATTTTTTTAAGAATGTTTAATTTTTATCTATATCCTCCCCTTATTCCTTATCTACCTCTTTGCATCCTAAATGCCATTTCTGGGCATAAATGTAATTTATTGCACTTCATGCATTTTGTGCACTTTTCACGTAACTGATTACCGGGTCTCCGTGTTATATTCTGGGACTCACAATGTCAATCTGTCTGATTTCTATTAACAGCAGCCCAAATGTTAACATTAAGGTTATCCACCATCATCCAAAATTCCTTTATCATTATAATATTCTCAAGAAAGTCAATATCACATTGGGTGTTCGGTCAACTATGTAAATATGCGGTACTATAAAAATAAGTTATAGTATTAAGGATTTTTTCAAATTTTAATAGTAAAGAATGACTTGTATATTTTTAGATTTCTAGAGCGAATTGCTTTACTTTTCTCAATTATTTTAGCATAAATCGATTCTTAAACACGTTTATAACAAAGTTATATTGAAATTTTTTAACATTAATATTTAAATTTCAAGATGACTCATTACAAAATTCTGATTTATATTGTGAACTATTCTAAGCAAGGTATTTTCATTGTGGGTGAAAACTCACGATTTTTACGCAACTTTGTTATAAACGTGTTAAGAATCGATTGATATTAAAACAATTGAGAAAAGTAATGTGATTAGCTTTAGACATCTAAAAGCATAAAAGTCATTCTTTATTATATATACAGTTATAAATAATCTTGCTCACTATTCTGATTATTATCCTGATCATTAAATTCGAAAAAAACTTTAATATTAACTTTTATATAGTACCAGATACTGTTTTATCGAACATAATTGACCGAATACCCCAATGTCACATGATCTCATGGAACCATGTGTCTGCAAGATTATGTGAATACAATTACAACCATAGCATTAGTGTCGCGTAGTTCTAGATCAGCTTTGTATTGGGTTCTGGCGATTATTGAACAAAATCAAATAAGTAGTCTGTTTGTTAGTGAAAAGGGTAGTGCTAACAAACGAAAATATGATGCGAACGTTCCACATGATGTAAATACTTGTATCAAGGATGATTGTAAGGGGAACGAATCGTAATTGTGATGAGGGATGATTAATAAAAGTGTATAAGATTGTATAAAGGAGTTAATTAAAAAATGACGTAAATGATTCAATAGAATATACATGTAATATAAAATAGCAAAGTAAATGAAGTTAGTCTTTTCGCTCTAAATAATACGCATAAATCAAAGAAAGCGATATCGCTACGCAAGATTCTTTTAAAATTATCTTTTATTTATTTCATACTTTAAGAACTAGCAAAATATAATAACTATATATTTAATTATTCTCATCTATCTATCTTATTGAATTTCTATAAATTTAATGTTTGAACTCAATAATTGTATCTTTATAGTACTGTATTTAAAGTGTATTCGACATAAACAAAAGTAGCAAAAAATATATACTACCTTATTTATTAATTCTATTATTTCTCCAAAAAATTTTTATATGAGATTCTGTCCATCCAGTAGATACAGTATTAAGTTGTGAAAGAAGATTAGGAAGTTTATCATTAGGAAAAATCTTTTCAGAGAGAATAGGATCAAGTATGTTTCTTTCTTCTTTAGTAGTTTGACGCTTTTGATGTAGTTTTTTTATATGAACAATACCAGTTTTAGGTGTTTGCTTTTTAATTTTTTTAATTTTAGACTTATCCATTTCTAATAAGTTTTGCCATTTGTAAGTTACAACATTGCATGCTCGGCGTCCTTTTACATCTCGGGTTTTAGTTTTATAAACATCCTGTTTCAAAATTTTATAGAGACAACCAATACCTTCATCATAGCATGAAAATAGATATTGAAAGCCTGCTTCATGAAGTTCTGGAGCATTAAGAAAAAGTTCATGTGATAAATCAGGTTGAGAAAATGCATTTGATAAATCAGAGATAAGTTTCCAAAGAGATTCTTTTTGGGACTTTATTGTTCTTTCTTCTTTAATATAAAGCTTATCACTAATATATTCAGAAATTAGCAATTCTAGTCACTCCCTTTCTGCCTGTATAGAAGACATTTGTAACTTTAACTCTTCATTCGTTAATTGTTTTCTGCTAACATTTTGCTTAATAAATTGAACACCAAATCTTTCTAATGCCTCATCGAACCCAAAAAAATGATCTTCATGTGTAATATTAACCGAATATACATGTTTAAGAAGTTTTTGAAAACTAATATCCCTTTCAACATAAAATAAAAAAAAAGAAACAGATCTAGCATAATTGTGTTTTCCTGCAGCAGGAAAAAGTAGCGAAAAAGCAGCAAGGTTTCTAAATTGCATATCGAAATTGCCTTTTCTAATTCCAACCCTATGACTTAACCAATAGGCTCCCCAACAAAAATAACAACAACTGCAACCCAAATTAGTTCTAACACCCGACAAGTTGCTGAATAATCGACCACTTTTTCTAACTTATCAAGATATAGCACACCTAATCGAGCAGCTAAACCAAAAATAGCATAACCTGAAAAAAGTATAATTAGTGCACTACACATATCTTTCGATGTGTGCTATTGCCCTAATAATAATCTAACCTGTGGATTGTTATCTTTATAAGATATTAACTGCTTAAATAAAGCTTCATCACAAGCAACAGTGATATGATTTGTATTTTCTAATCCAACATCATCAAAATACATTGTATAAGCTTGATGTATGTTTGCATCGCAATTGGGATTTTCTCCAGGCCTTAATATAACAATATTCGGAGGTGGAATTTGATATTCAAGTGGTATATTTTTTCTAATTCATTAAGTGCATCTTCGACATCTCAATTATTTAGTTTCGTTTCTAAAAGTTGAACAAAAATCTTTTCATAAATGTTTAATAAATTACTAGTAAATAATGATTTGCCAAATAAAGGCTGCTGCATTATATTATCATTAGTAGCATGTTGAGAATCAATAGTTTGAATTGAGCTTGGAAGACTAAACTGAAAAACTATTCTTATAGTTGCATGAAATGTAACTTGGGAACTATCATATATATTTCCATATGAAAATGACTTTTTAGCAAAATCTATGTTATCTATAATACAGACATTCCATACATTTTCCTCTCTAATTAACCTATTCTTGGGTTTTGATTCATTTAAACGAATTTTTTCTAATTGACGTTCATAATGTTGACTATGAGAAATAACACCCGCTAAATAAAAAATTGCATATAAAGAAGATATCATTTTGGGTTTATGACTTAAAGAACTTAATATATAATGAAGCAACAAATTTGTAGAAGGTGAAGCGATATTTACAATCATAGAGGTAAGAAAGATTGAAATCTTTGTAGCATGAGATTTATCAAAATCTGGAATTGGTAAATT